TCACATAATATGGAAGATTAATTATTTTACCTACATTATCCTTATACAAATTAATTTTTACCTTCTATTTGTTTAGTTTAAAATGTATTAAGCATATAACCAGTATAATCTGACCTTTGAATGTGTCGAAAACTCATAAAAACCGAGGTCAAGATATACTGGATTTTGTATCTTGCCGATTGTGAGAAGATTAACAAGTTTTTCATAAAGAATTCATTAGTTGGTTTTCAGATTTTTTTACCCTTTTTTTGTCAGGGGATCATCATCAAATGACTTCTCCCGCCCAGGGTAAGGCGAGAGAGAGTGTCAGGCTCTTACTGACTATAAATCCCCCGTTCTTTCTCCTGCTTTAGGCCGAGGTCGTGGTACCTCATTGCGCTTACCTCGCAACCCCGGCAAAACATCAGCCCTTTAGGGCCCCGTCTGTGGTGATCTATTGGCTCTGTGAGGCGCACGCGGAACGCTACGCGCCCGGGTTCGCTCGGGTCTGGTACTGGTCGGGCGGTAAGCTACCCTTACTCGCCGTCCGTAGACCTGCGCTTACGGTGATATTTCCGGAGATAATTTCTCGAAGAAACCTGGAACTAGAATTGCAATTATAACTTTGGATATGAGAGGGAAAAAATGGAGTAAGTATAGCTATCCTTTTTTTGTCAGGGGAAAATCATTAAAGGACTTTTCCCGCCCAGGGTAAGGCGAGAGTAAATGCCCCGTTCTTTCTCCTGCTTAAGGCCGAGGCCGCGGTGCCTCATTGTGCTTGCCCCGCAATCTAGTATTGTGTGCGCTTGATTCGCAAGCCTGGAGTACAATCGATGTTTAGGATAGCCGACCAATGATTCACCATGAAGTCTAGGGTAACATTAACTAGCTACATAATTTCTCTTTTATATGAGGCTAGCTTCCAGGAGCCACTCGGGAACATTGTAGGTATTAAAGAATTTTGGAAATCCAACCAGCGGTTCCGCAGATTACCCCCTACATATAAACTTACAAATTGTACCTCTTTGTAATATTAGTATAGATAGGTCGGCAAATGAGCAGAAGCATCACGGTGATCCGGTCACTTGATGGTAAGCAATTCGGTGCCACCCACGGTTACTTACAAGATTGGGCCTCCAGTAATCTCACTCACAGAGCGAAAGACAAAGCTTCAAGCATTGTTTGACGCTGGTTATCTGAGTGGTGGTAGATTTTTTATGTGATAAACGAGCTGACGGATTTCCTGATGGTAAGCAATCAGCAACGTCCATGGACACCCGCATCAAGAGAGGATTACGAGTGCATCCCGACCTTTTGGGGATTTGGTATTACTAATTTTTTGTATTAGTAATACCAAATCCCCAAAAGGGATCCCTCCCCAATCCCTAAATCTCCTAATACTGTATTTGGGGATTTAGGGATTGGGGAGGGATCGGGCTTCCGATAACCTCACTCACACGGCTAAACAATGCTGTGATTGTTTCACGTCGGTTTTCTTTGAGGGCTTGGTATTACTCCGATCGAGCGGACCCATTAGTGCCGAAGCATGGCTATCCTACACAATTCCGTTCAACTTACCTAATCCTTTCGAGGCAAAAGACACTTGAACTACTGTACCTCTTTACTAAATCATATTTATATTATCACTTATTTTGTATGACCATCATCATCAGCCTACAAGTGCCCACTACTGAGCAAAGGCCTTTTCTCACACGGAGAAGGTTAGAGTATTAATCACTACGCTTGCTCAATGCGGGTTAACGATTTCAAACTTATAATTATTAATTATAAGTCCAGGTTTCCTCACGAAGTTTACCTTCATCGTATGTCAGTGGTGTCTAAATAATATCATAGAAAGTACATATAACTCGGAAAAAGTCACATAGGTACTTGCCAGGTTTCGAACCCACACTCTTATGTATGAGAATAGGGCTCCTTAACCTCCGGGCCACCACGACATACGTTGTTCTATATTTTGTATGATACGGCGACAAACAAGCTAATCTATTACCTGATGGTAAGCAATCGGCGCCGCCTTTGGACACACGCATTACCAGAGGAGTTCCAAGTCCATTACCACCTTTTTGGGGTTAAGGGGATTTAGGAATTGGAGAGGAATAGCGAGAGAAGAAGGCGTGGTCTACGGTACTGCAACACAGTAGCAGCGCGACAGACGCCGCGTCGCGTGCCGCGGAATGCTTTTCATGAATATGAGCCTCTAGCATGGCTTGAAACTAGTCGAGTATCTCGTCAAAAGATTACGTGAGTAAGCCGAAAACATAATAATTAATTTAGTATGTCTCACAAGTTATAATAATTTTAAGTGTGGGAAAGCCAAGCTTTGGCACGAGTGGGTCGGCTCGACCTGAGTGTTACCACGGCCTCACAGAAAACCAGCGTGAAACAACCACAGCGTTGTGTTTCGCTGTGTGAGGTTACCGGAGGCTCAATCTTTCCCCTTCCTTTTGGATTTGGATTTTTAGGGACTGGGGAGGGATTGGCCCTCCCCAGTCCCTAAAAATCCAAATCACTAATCCCTAAAAGGTCGGCAATGCACTCGTAACTCCTCCGTTCCATCAGGTAATTCATCAGCTGGTTTGCCGACTTATTCCATAAAAAAAGACATTGCTGTAGTTTTTTCACGCCGGTTTTCTATGAGGCCGTGGTATTGCTCCGGTTGAACTGGCCCATTTGTCAACCAGATAGCTGTGCAGACTGTAGTTCGTCGCGGTGCCAAATGTTTGTAATCAACGTTATAGAATTATAATAACATCCGCTTTAGATATCTTTCATAAATTAATACACTGATAATCTAGTTACACCAAAAAATATCCATTTTTTATGGGACTAATCGGTAAACGAGTTGGCGGATTTGTCAGGGGACATCTCCCGCCCAGGATAAGGCGAGAGAGAGTGTCAGACTCTTACTGACTAAAAACACCCCGTTCCTTCTCCTGATCTGGGTAGAGGCGGAGTTGCGTTTAAATACCCCGCAACCCTGGCAACCGGCGTTCCAATCTTTTTCTCCCCCATCCCTCCTGGCAACGCATTAGCAATAGCAACTCTAGTTTTAATGCTTAGACAGGTTTTATTTTAGAAGTCTCTATATTTATAACTTTTTCCTCGGAATTCCCGCTGTACAAGATACAAGGTAGCTGTGGACTTAGGCCGAGTGCCATCTTACAGTAAGCCATGACACTTTTTTATAATACAACAGATTATACTTACCATGTAGCTTGAAGTACAAGCTGAATTTTGTCGATAAGGGGTCGGTAAAGGTATCGCTAAGACCCTCAAGTCATTTGAAGAGGGTCCTCCAGCGTAATACCACTTCAGAGTTTCCGTAAAGCGATTGAAATTCTGTCATTTTTACTGTTAGCTAAAAATTTTTACGTTGCCTTCGCTTAGTCTTTATCTTTGTCGCTTTAAAAATGTATTAAAGACAATAAGGAAAATCGTAGCGTATATTTTAGGTACAAAAATGGACTTTCCCTATTTTAATTACCTACGTAATTATTGAGAAGAAATAAAATAAAGCATCATCTTATCAGTGTGAGAGAGAGCCATGCTTAGCCACGAGTAGGACGGCTCGACCTGATTGATACCAAAACTTAGAAAACAAATTTTTATTTAGTAAGAGTCTGTCTACATTCGCCTTACCCTTTTTTTGACAGAGGAATCATCACAATATCATCACTAGGGGACATCAAATGTCTTCAAACGCGCATGGTTTTTTTTTTGTGAGGGGAAAATCATCAAATGACTTCTCCCGCGCATGGTAAGGCGAAAGAGAGTGTCTGATCTTACTGACTAAAAACCTCCCCGTTCCTACTCCTGCTCTGGGCCGAAACCGCGGTGAATCATTGCGTTTAACTCGCAACTCCGGGTGAACATCAGCTCTATAGGGCCCCATCTGTGTTAGTCTATTGGTTCTTTGAGGCGCTTCTAATCAACATACGATTAGATGCTGACCGTATGTAAATTAAACTACTAACATTAATACATAACTATAAATCTATTAGACTAGGTATCTGTTTACCTAAAAATCACAACGCTCCAATTGAATTACATATTTAAAAGAATTAAAAATCATATTAATAATATACTAGCTACTCTCGCGCGGTTTCACCCGCTGCAGCTCCTTTTGATCGTAGCGTGATGTTTTATAGCCTATAGCACTCGGGAACATTGTAGCTATCTGTCAGTGGAAGAATTTTGGGAATCCGACCAGCGGTTCAAAATATTGACCCCTACATACGAACTTACAAATTTTACCTCTTTATAATAATATTATAGATTTATTAAAATGTATCGCATCGCATCACCCTAACGGTTGGCTCAAAGAGAATGCCTTTCGGCATTAAGCCCGCCATTGTATGTATTACAGAAAGTGTTAAAATGTAATATATCTTATTAATTGTATAGATAATTTCAAAGAAATGAATTTAGGTAGTACCTATCTGACGAAAAATAATATGACGTAGGTGCACACCTAACAATTTGGTAGGTAATCTCATAAAAATATAATAAACTAGCTACTCTCGCATTTGATCGTAGCGTGATGTTTTATAGCTTATATACCTATATAGCACTCAGGAACATAGTAGCTATCTATCAGTGAAAGAATCTTGGCAATACGACCAGCGGTTCCAAAGATTTCCCCCTACATACAAACTAACAAACTTATAATGTTACTATAGATGTAGAAACAAACGGAAATATCGTAATTCCAATTCAAAAAAAGAATATTGAATTTGAACCGACAACATCACAGAACAGAAAATTAAGTTTCTATTCCGTGGAAGAGGTAATGGTTCCTTCCTTTTTAAATTCTAATGTAAAAAGAACATTTAACCGCTTGTCAAATTTGATTTTTAATTTAAGAATTGAAACATTTAGGCTTTTCCATTAACAAATAAAATAATCTTAATAAATCCTTACAATATCAGTTACGAAAATACGGCGTAGGATTACGGAGATTACAATTAATAATACGTTATCATTTAATCGTGGAATTTATCAATTAATTCCTGGCCCTGAATTAATATAAGCTAAGCAATAAAATAATTTTATTTAGTTGTATTAATTAAAGATGGCGGTGTGGGGTGCCCTATTTTTATTGGCTGTAGCTGGGACCACGGTAAATAATTATTTTACATGTTTTTTTTTCATGTAAATTGTGTGAACTGTGCGTTTAATTATTATAATTATTGTGATATTTTTAATAGTGGAGTAAGTAGTTAGGGAAGAATTCATAAAATACCAAATTTTTAAAATTGGATTATTTTCGAAATGATAATAACTGTCATTTTGATACGATTTGGTGACGTCATTATTTAGTGACGTACAGTCAGTCAAGTTATTTGGTACGCAGGTAAGACTTGAAGATCGACTCAGAAAGTCAGAACAGATGTTATTTAACGAAACCATACAAAATATTTATAATAATTCGTTGGGCTACCCAACCAAAGGTTACCTACCTACTGATTCGGTAGGTTCACTGTCCTATACCAGTTTTTATTTTCGCATCGGCATCCTACGAATATTTTATTACTGAATGCATTGGGAAAATTGACACAGAGATAGATGTAGACTAGAATAACAAATAGGCTACTCTAGTTGTCATCCATGTAACACGAGCGAAGCTGCTGATGGAAGCTAGCTAGCACTTTAATATGACTGTGCCGACTGTAGCTTATTTATACGTAATTCGACTTTACTTGAGACTGAAAATCGACCTATTCCTGTGGCGTGTTTCAAAAGAAGCCTCCCGGATTCATACATACATTTGACAACATGCTAGGTACACGAGACGACACGATACGCAAGTTTGTCTAATCACATAGTAAATGTCGGTTAAGCATAGAGAGAGAGATTCGGTTTTATAAAACCGATAGGCTTTTGTTTTGAGTGGGTTAAATCATCATATGACTTCTCTAGCTCTGGGTGGGGCGATTAGGGAGTGTCAGACTTTCAGCCAGGGTTGCGGGTTAAGCCCAATGAGTAACCGCGGCCTCGGCCCGGCGCAGGAGAAGGAATAGTCAGTAAGAGTCTGATACTTTTTCTCGCCTAACCCTGGGCGGGAGAAGTCATTTGATGATTGTCCCCTGACAAAAAAAAGGTGTGTCAGACTTAGACTGAAATCCACTCCGTTCCTTCTCCTGCTCCAGGCTGGGAAAGCGGGACATAATTGCGGTTAACCCGGAACTCCGGTAAACTTCTGTCGCGATTTTTCTACCATGATAAATTTCGTACTTTAGTCCAAACGGTGCAACAGTGGGTGCAGTTTTTATTTGAACATGTTATTAGAAAGAAATTGAGGTTCAGAAATAATGTGAACTTCAAATCTTACCTACAAAGTGTTAGGTAAAATAGAACTGAAGATTGATAACAATATCCTATTTGAAATACAAAACAAAGGCGGATTAAAAACATGAGACGTGGATGGTTAATTAGAAGATAAGGATTAGATATCTTCATTGATTATATTACGGGTTGCGAGTTGTCGTGCTGCGTTGATGCCTTAGGAAAACGTTTTTAGCCAGGGTTGTGGGGCAAGCGCAATAGGGAACCGCGGCCTCGGCCTAGAGTAAGACAAGGAATAGGGTATTGTTTAGTCAGTAAGAGTCTGACAATCCCTCTCTCTCGCTTTACCCTGAAGAGAAGAGATAGAGGCATATACATTGTGTATTGTGAGCGAAGTGGCTGCATGGTAAGCGCGGTGCTTGGCAAAAAAAAAGTCAATTGATAATGTTCCCCTCCCAAAAACAGACGCCTTGTTGTCTTTCAACTGTTCAACTGATGATGATGAGATTATTTGTACTTTCAGGTGTACGCCGATCCCAGTGAGCTCGCTTTCCCTGAAGAGGCAAGAGGTAAGATAGATCGAATACTTATTGATCATCGGTATTATTGAACTCAAACACTCAAGAAACCGGGTTTTGCTTTCAATAATACTTTTTACTAGTAAAAGTACTGAATAATCAAAGTCAAAGTCAAATTGACTGCACGCGGTTGCTGCGGTGGCTGGGCATCTGGCTGCCGTGCAACGTGTAGCGGATTCGATTCCCGCACGGAACGACTCTTTGTGTGACCCACAAATTGTTGTTCCGGGTCTGGGTGTCATGTGCATGTGGAGTTGTATGTTTGTAACCGCATCCACGACACAGGAGAAAATCTTAGTGTGGGGCAACGAATTAAAGAAAAAAGTCGAAGTCAAAAATCATTTATTCCAATTAGACCCTTACAGGCACTTTTGAACGTCAAACACAATTTTGAAGATATAGTGTCAAATATTTGGTTATTTAACCGCTATACTTATTACGCTAGAGATATTTCTTTGCATCACACTGTCCTTTTATTATTGAAGAAAGTTATAGGCAACTAAAATTTTAAGTATAAGAAAGCTAGGTGAATGGTACGCAAATAAATATCAAATATAAACACTAATAATTAACAATAACTAAAAACACTAATAAAGAAAAAAATCCCGTGCCTAATAAAATTTTTAGAACTGTTTACAATTCATACCTTTCTATGAGGGAAAATTGGGTCGTCAAAAATAAATAAATTCGACGTTTCAATACAATAAAATATTGAAAAATAACTATACTTTTATTCATCGATCGATCGATACACTTACTACTACTTACCTTTTAGATTTTTTTTAGCAAACTTTTAAGAAATAAGTAAGCTATTTGACTAGAAAATGTTATGACGTCATAACTAAGTTTTTCATACAAATTTCAAAGAGAAAAGTATCGTTTTTGACGTATGGATAAAAGTATTGAATTTGAACTAGTTGGAAACTACCGTATTGTAGGTAGTATATACAACCAACATTACTAAATTACGAAAACATTCTCTGACTCAATTTCTTCTGAATCTAGGGGGAGCTCGTATCGTATCAGGATGGGAGGCACAGAAGGGCCAGTTCCCTCACCAGCTTAGCATCCGTATGGTGAACCCATCTGGAGGAGTGACTTCATGCGGTGCCTCAATCATCCATTCGGAATGGGCTGTTACTGCTGCTCACTGCACAGCTACGTAAGTATCCTTTTGACTGACATCACAGTCATGTATTTGCTGCAGTTTTTTTACTTAGTATTAACAGGATATCCAAACTTATATTATAAATGGGAAAGTAACTCTGTCTGTCTGCCTGTTTTTTCTTCACTCCTAAACTACTGAACCTATTTGTGTGAAATTTGGTACAGAGATAGTTTGGAACTCGAGAAAGGAAATAGGATAGTTTTAAAACAAAAAATCTGCAGGAAGTCACTATTCCACGCGAACAGACGCGGGCAAAAGTTAGTTCTGAATATATGTAATTTTTAGAGTGTTTTTTTTTTGTAAGGGGAAAATCATCAAATGACTTTCCCGCCCAGGGCCGGGCGGGAGGGAGTGTCAGACTCTTACTGACTAAAAACCCCCCTGTTCTTCTCCTGCCGAGGTCGCGGTGCCTCATTGCGCTTACCCCGCAACCCACGCTGAACATCAGCCCTATAGGGCCCCGTCTGTGGTGGTCTATTGGCTCTTTGAGGCGCGTGCGGAACGCTACACGCCGTACTCTCGGGCCTGGTTCTGGTCGGGCGGCGAGCTGCCCTTACTCGCCGATCGCAGACCCGCGCTTACGGTGGTCGGAGATCATCTCTTGATCCCCGACGCCCGGATTGTCCCCCGCTAGTAAAGGTAGTGTAGCTGCCCCCGCTACGCACGGGTTATCAAAGGGTTACTTTTTCCTAATCTTCCCCTCTACTTTTCTAATATTTTCTTTGATAAGAACCTTCTCCTGACAATAACAAACGCAACAAAAAAATAATTAGCAAAATTGGTCCAGGCGTTGTTGAGTTATGCGCTTACCAACACATTTTGCGATCTATTTTTATATATTAATAAATAGATGTAGCAATTTCTTTTGATCCATTTTGTTTCATAAATCTTTTTTGTTATCTTCTGCAGCCGTGTGACCATTGTTGTTCGTGTTGGTACCGTCAACTTGACTGAGCCGGCTCTCATCTTCGAGACCACCAAGTACTACAACCATCCCTTGTACATCGAAGCTCTTCAGTCTATTGTACAGCCCAATGACATCGGTCTTATCGAGTTCGGCAGAAAGATAGAATTCAACGGTTAGTATCATAAATGAATCACCTTTTATTTTACAATAAAATTCTATTTTATTTTGTAGTACATCAAAGAAATAATACACTGTCTTACAAGTCTAGATTTTACTTTTTAAATAATTTCTTTTGGATATTTATCAATTAGGTAAGGCCGTAATATTTATGATGACTTTGACACCTTGGAAATGGTATAATATTTAATATGTTTTGTTACAGATGTTATCAAGCCCATCAGAATCCAACGCTCTTCCGAGAGGAACACCAACTACGGTGGCACCCGTGCTATCGCCAGCGGTTGGGGACGCACCTGGACTAACGGTAACATTAAAACAAATAATTCGCTACTTAACTGGATCAACGAAATAAATTAATGATTCTGTAAAATCTGACGAGATCGATATAGCCATATCAGTTCGTTTTACTTCTGTAGCTTGATAAAATTCGATCTTAATCATTCATTACTCATAATTCACTTTTATCTTTATATGTCATTTCCATTTTTTTTTGTTAACAGGCAACTCTCCCGAAAACCTAAACTGGGTCTACCTGTCCATCGTCACTAACTTCGATTGCTTGGTAGCCTTCGGAGGCAGCTTCATCATCCAGGACTCTACTATCTGCGCCAGCGGTTACAATGTTACTAGCCAGTCCACTTGCCAGGTTTGTAAATTTAACATGGTTATTATGTTATGATTAACAACTGTCAAGAGCTCACAATTATTTTTTCTGGGCCAGGGTGCTTGGCTGGAATTTCCTCTACGTGAGAGGCTTTGCTGTCATGTCACGTTTGCATTTCTGTCCGGTTTCGATCTAATTTCTCTTTCTGGTCTAACGACTCGCAATCAGGGAAATTAATGTTGCTTTGTATTTCTTTAGGGTGACAGCGGTGGTCCATTGACGATCATTGATGACGATGGTCAACCCACCTTAGTCGGAGTTGCTTCCTTCGTATCCAGCAGTGGATGCCATACTGACTTCCCAGCTGGTGAGTCAACCTTTTTATATATTAACTTTAATTATACGTAACTCTGTTTACTGTTATAAAAATAGTTATTTCGTGCGAATAATTTGTTTAGTAAAAAGATTAATGTTTCTTTTTTTGTTTAGGTTTCATCCGTCCTGGTCACTACCACTCCTGGTTCACTCAGGTTAGTGGCATCGACTTTGACTGGGACTGGTCAAATGTTACCACAACCGAGCCACCATTCAACGTTACCACCACCGAGCCACCATTCAACGTTACCACAACCGAGCCACCATTCAACGTTACCACCACCGAGCCACCAATTAACGTCACCACCACCGAGCCACCATTTAACGTTACCACCACCGAACCACCATTTAACGTCACTACCACCGAGCCACCATTTAACGTCACCACCACCGAGCCACCATTTAACGTCACCACCACCACTACTGAACTACCACCCGATGTGACCTTTACCGAGCCACCATCCAACGAGACCACAACTACTGCCGCTCCTGACTCTTCAGAATCCTCGGAATCTTCGGAATCTTCGGAATCGTCTGAATCTAGTTCGTCAAGCTCTAGTTCTTCTTCCAGTTCTTCTTCCAGCTCATCTTCCAGCTCATCCTCTAGCTCTTCATCATCTTCTTCCTCTAGTTCATCCAGCTCTTCAAGCTCATCATCTTCCTCTGAATCCAGTTCCTCGTCTGAATCTTCAGATTAAACTACCAGACTGTCTATTTCAATTCAAGTCAATACCATCACACCTACTTAATGGAAGATTAGCTAAAAATAAATAATGTAAACGTTATCTGTTATCCAATAAATGTTGTAACGTGATTTTCTTTTATATATGGAATATTAAAAATCTTTATAAATGATTATCAAGTTTTTTTTATTGAAGTTTATTTTCATATATTATATTACATATATATGTATATATCACTCTCTGGGATATCGCTCTCTTTGTCTAGACTCAGCATAGATGCCAATCTTACTTAATAGTGACCTAAAAGCTACCGTATTAAGGGTGTCTAGCGTCTGGCCTACATATATTATGTAAAAAAATATATTCTCTACCCAAATTCTTCTTCTTTTATTTATTGTTTTGTAAGTAAATAATAATATTTATTCCATTAAAAAATACTGTTTACAATTAAAAGTATAGCAAATTGGTTTGTGTTTAAACATCCGAAATAATATTATAAATGCATAAGTAATTCTGTCTTTTCTTCACGCCTAAACTACTGAACCGATTTCTATGAAATTTGGTACAGACATAGTTTGGAACTCGAGAAAGGACATAGGATAGTTATAGTTTAGTTATACCAAAAAACTGCTGGAAGTCACTATTTCACGCGAACGAAGTCGCAGGCAAAACCTAGTTTTATATATTTTTCAGAAGTCATAGCAATATTTTAGTGTTTTTTCTTGGGATATGGCCGTGTGGACGAGCAGATAAATGAACTATGTTAAGCAATTAGTGCTGCCCATAACACTAAGGAATTACAAGATAAACAAAACGTTACATACAAGAGAAAAACAACCGTATTGTCTCACGTCAGCTGAGACTGACCCACACGGTTAAGCATAATAGGAACGCGGCCCCGGTTTTTGGCAAAAGTAGAAACAGGATGGTTTCTAGTCAGTAAGAGTCTAACACTCCCTCTCGCCTCAGCCAGGCCGGAAGAAGTCATTGAGACATTTCCTCGCCTCCAAAAATGCATACTTAGATTATAGTCTGTGGAGTAATACAAGTTTTTTTTTATATCCCGGCTATGCGGGCCAAGCTGCCGTCTGAAGCTAGCTGAACATATCTGTAGAGATGACTATAAGAAGTAGGTCGTCAGAGGTCGTTATTCCAATTTTGTGACCTGTTTTGTTTAGTTTCTTAATAGGAAGTGGGGGTATATGCAGTTTGATTAATAATTATAGGCATGTCAACCCAATGCCAATAATTGTGTGACATAAAGTGTGTGTGTATAAATATTTTCTTTTTTGTAAAAAATAATTTTGTTGGCACGTTTTAGGCACCCTAACCTTACCCGTAACACACTTGTCGGCACCGGTTTCTCATCGATTTTAACGCCTGTAGCTACTATAAAAGCGAAAATTTGTGAAATTAACTCGAACGCAGATATAAATAAGGTTGAATTTCAAATAACGTTATCTAATTTGTGATTTTTCTGTATATATGAGTGATTTTTCATTGTTTTTCCATTAGATATGGTGTGTTAGAGATTTGTAATGTAGTTGCGAGTTACCAGTCGCGTGTACTAGCGACAAATCGCACGGAAATAAAAATAGGCGCATGGTGCTACAGCGTCGTATTGCAGTGGCGGACTACCGCGCATGCGCCAAAGGGCTGCCATGTTAGTGACCTATTTTCCCCTATCAAAATATTTTATTGAGTTTTTTTTTGTTTTATGAGTATGAGTAATATGTTATTTTTGTAATAGTTTTCACATTGTGACGTGATTATACTTGCTTTAAGTATTATTATTTTGCAGAGTGGAATATTGATATTAAAATGTATGTAGATGCCTAGTTGAATTTAATAGCAAATCTATTTATAAATATTATCTATAATGAGTCCTTTTGACGTGAATATAGATAGAATTATTAAAGGTTATTGTAACAAGAAAATCTCTTTAGATTTTTTTTTTAAACGTTGCCCCACATTAGCATTTTCTCCTGTGTCGTGGATGCGGTTACAAACATACAATTTCACATGCACATGACACCCAGACCCGGAACAACAATTGTGGGTCACACAAAGAGTTGTTCCGTGCGGGAATCGAACCCGCGACACGTTGCACGGCAGCCAGTTGCCCAGCCACCGCACCAACCAAGCAGTCAAATTATAAAGAAGTTGTAGCTTCTTTCTAGTTTATGCTAGAGAATACTTTAAAAGAGTAGAAAAGTAAGACGATTTTACAACAAAATATTAAGAATAAAGTCCCGCAATAAAGCGAAAAATCCAAAGTATGGCAACACTGGATTGCATTTGGCGCGCGCGCGAATCGCCCTTCCAAATCAACATGGCGAACGCTCGGGGAGCGCGCCTCGTCTCATAAAACAACAGTATAATCACATTCTCACACTAAACGTATTTATTATTTCTATATAATCGTTCGTGGATAAAATGTTATAGTGTCCGGTCAACGGGTGTGAATAGTGAATTCTTTTGTGTACACAGTGAGTTATTGTTTATTGCATGAGTGGTGCTCATGGGGTGGCTGATGTACGGGACGATGGACGAGATTCACCGGCCAGCACAGAACAGCTAACGTAAGAATATGTGAAAATGGATATGTAATATTAAAGGGAAAACATTGAGTGTCACCCACATAACGTCTTCGATCGTAGTCGCGTCACTTTGTATGTATTCTGTGGGGTAATAGTCCAGTGCCGTGCATAATGACGGTTTACCGCACCCCTAATGGCAGCCTTTCGTTGGAACTTTTTTTTTACCATAGATACACCGCGTGTGTGCTTTGTCATAAGTGGAAAATGGTGTTGCTAAATGAATGCACGTAATACATTACAAATCCATTCGTGGAACATTGGTCATTTTATAAAAATAAGTCGGGATTTTCACTTATATGATTTTTCATTCGGATGTGAATCAGCTTACAATCATTTTTCCTGTTAAGAATTTTCATAATGACGCATATTCTCGAGCTTTCTTCTCGCGTTTTTCATTGTTTTGCCGTGTTTTCAATAAATACGCAGTTACCGGTTCGCCTTAAACTTGAAAAGGTTACAATACAGTTTTAAGTGCCTAGTGATCGGTTTCTCATTATTATTAATTACTATTATTATTTTTTGTTGACGACGCTTTGATGGAGAATGTATGTGTTATTGGACAAGGAGGTTAAATAATATACGGAACTTAAAAATACGTACCTTTTGATAGCCCGAATAAAGTCTTTTTTATATATAAAGAATAAAATCTTTTTTATTAATTACCTAATGTAAAACCTTTTAAAATTGAAATAGAAATACTCACATATAACCTAAAGGGTAGGTACTTGTCATTAGATTTGCCTGTGACTGTGTACGCGTCGACTTCGACCCTATCCTCGCTAGAATTGTAAAGTAATAAACGTGTGTTACTTGCTAAAAAAATAAAATTTTCCTACATTTTTTTTCTTTTCCGAAAATAGTAATTATAATTTATTATAGTAGGTAACAGTTTCATACCTACTATATTTTCTGTTTCTAGAATGTGATAAAATATATTTTTTTTATTTTGAAAATTATTACTTATTAGGTTAGTCTTTATCAGCGATAAAAACATCAAAAATTACACAGGATTTCCCGTAAAAAGCAAAAAAAAAACTGTTTTGCTATTATATTACTTATAAAAAATCTCTTTTTTTATGATTAATTTATAATTTTCTAGAACGTTTAATTAATAGTTGCAATTATATATTCATATCGTTAATAAAAATTAAATTAAGCTACGAATTTGACACGAATGAAACTGAACTGCACCGAATTTTTTGCCGAATCTTTTTCACATCTAGTCATAATAAAGTAGGTAGGTAGTTATCTGGTTTGAATTTTCAAATTGTGTTCGAGAATGAGTGCTGTAGCGTCACATTTTATAGCGCCAAATATCACACTCATAAATCATACGTAGATTATGTATATCAAAAATAAAATAATGAAAGTGTGTATTTTTTTTAATGAAAATAACTAATAATACAATTTATTACTTTTTCACTATGGAAAGTAAGTACTTTATAAGATAAATCTTTTTATCGTGTTCATTATTTTTAGGACAAAGTAAAATTAAAATACTTAATCGAAGTCACCGAGGAAGGCCAGTAAAATAAATATAATCTAGACCGATTGAAAGATTTTTCCATTTCTAATCGGCATAGTGATTTTGCCAATGACATTTAGACACAGTGCTCGTGAAATAGTCACGATGTGTTGAAAGGCGTTCCGTGCATTAGCAGTCACTTGTCAACAGAATTGTAATACCTATTTAAATAAATATCAATTTGTCACGGAGTTGGATAACTTTTTATGAATCTACACAACACTACAACTTTTTTTTAATAGGAAAATTATCTACCGATAAAATGGGGTGAATTGAATTCGAGCTCCGAATAGAAGCAGAAGAGGGGTGAATTTGATACTAGGAAATTTCGTCAAAAGAGGGAAATACATATAGATCTACCTACACCTCTTTGGTGTATGTTTTCACCCAGTTTTACAGTAATTATTTCTGCCGCCCTGGATGGAGCGAAAGAGAGTCAGACTCTTTCTTTACTCCAATTAAACCATAAACAGGTTCTTTGGAAACATCAAAATAGAATAAGCGTACAAGTCTGTTCACCAGTGATGCTAGGTGCTTGTTCCAAAGTGTAGTTTCGAATGGAGAAGAACGATACAGAAACTCCATCGTTAATCTTTAAAAAAAAATATACAATCTCCTTGAAAATGTAACGACACGTTATCCAGATCTCGTTGTCCAATATAAATGATGGCTTTCAGCGAGGTTAGACTTGTTGAGGTTTAGTGGTATTTTGTAAATTCTGAAGTAGTAAACAGCCTGGATGAGCGCTATTTAAAATAGCCTTTTTTATTGAGATCTTGAATCTTGGGACCTTCGTGGGACTCATACCATAGCCGATAAAAATGGTTTCTCGGTACCATCCTGCTAATATTAAAAACGGGAAAATTTTTAGTTACGGATGCAAGTTTGTTAGTCTTTTACATAAAAACTAATAAACGGATTTCAATGAAATTTGGCACATTGATAGATTGTAGTCTGGAGTAATAGATAAACTACACTTTGACCTGATTCTGACAGAAACTAGTTTCTAACTAG